AATATTTTCTGACTGTACTTTAGGTGGGAAATTTTACAAACGATTTATTTGTGATAGATGATACTGAAGTATTTCAAGATAGACAAACACATGATTTTGGTAAGGAACGAGAGTGGATCATAACAACAATTTTGGTATGTGTATTAATTTTAGAATAAGACTTGTAATGGTTAGTTCCCGTTTCGTCGAAAGCTTAATTAATATTTCTGTTTCGTCGAAAACATTTTTTTCTAGTGTTCCTATTTGGTCGAAAAATAAAACTAGAACTAGAATATAGATTATTCTAATTAATAAGCTTTTTTTAAATAGACTAATTAAAAAGGAATGCTGAATTAATCACTATCCATTCTATTTGTATTAAACTTTAACATAATGATTTCTCTGATATATCTTGCACTGTATTTCATGTTAGCTATTGTTGAAAGTAATCGTAAGAAACCAGTTTTATTTTACTTGATACTTTTCGTTACACTCAAGACAAAATTGTGAATACTATTGTTTATTGGAAATGTGAAGTCCTGGGCGTGCTATACAATATGGATCGGATCCACCAAGTACGAAGAAATCGCACAATCAAGAAAACATGTGCACTTGCATTCATGCCACCGCAAGAAGTTGGGAAAATATGGACATTGATTATGGATCAATTTCAAGATATTGAGCATATTGAGGTATTTTATGATTATATAACAAGTACATGGGTGGATAATGATGCGTTATTCGATTTATCACTGTAGAATTATTTTGATTTTAAAAGTTCACGAACGAATAATAGTTTAGAAGGTTGGCATCATCGTTAAAATACTCATTTAGAACATATCATACATCCACATTTTTATATGCTTATTCGTGATATTCAAAACGCTTATGCATATAATTCAGCAAATATCATCACGTCATACACCCACTGGTACAATACCACCAAGAAAAAAGTTATTTGTGAATCGAAATGCACGATTACACGATTTAGAAAATTATTATAAACAACAGACATTAACACTGGAAGAATATCTTGAAAAGTGATGCGATTAATTGGTATCAAAAAGTTTTGATTTTCATTTATTTTTCGTTTGTGTTGTTTCTTTCTTTAATAATGTACGCATGTACTTTTTCAGTAGAATCATTTGAAATAATTCAGCATTCTTTTTAATTAGTCTATTTAAAAAAGCCTTATTAATTAGTAATAATCTATATTCTACTTTGTTTTCAATACTTGTGCCAATACAGTCTATTAATTAGAATAATCTATATTCTAGTCCTAGTTTTATTTTTCGACGAAACAGAAACAGCTAAAGCTTTATTTTCGACAAAACGGGAACACTAGAAAGAAAGCTCTAAACATTTTTTCGACGAAACAGGAATATTAATTAAGCTTTCGACGAAACGGGAATTCACCTTTGTAATAATGCACAATTTTATTAAGGATGAGCCATTCATAATGATAAATAAAATAGCTGCTGGTAATCTGACACCGTCAACAGCTGTTGGACAATTTCTACCATTTGATCATTTATACGGTTATTGTGTCGATTTGGCTCGTATGTGATAAAATAAAGAGAGAAAATCAGCATAGTTCGATGATATGCTCTGTTTTAGGTTTGATATGTGAAAAAAAGTTAGACATTCGTTGTAAATTTCGTATTGTCAAAGATGGTCTTTTTGGAAACAAAGCGACAAATGGTCTGTGGAACGGAATGATTGGAGAACTCGTTCGTCATGTAAGCAAGAATTGATCTCTATTTATTCCACGAATATGATGAGTTTGCTTTAGGAAGCTGATCTCGCCATAGCTCCGTTAACCATCACTAGTCAACGGGAGAGTGTTGTTGATTTTTCAAAACCGTTTATGAACTTGGAAATCAGTATTTTGATTAAAAGACACCAAATACAAAAACCGAGTAAAATTAGCTCTAACCTTTACGTACTTGTTTCGTTCATGCTCATGTAAAATTTGCTTTTTCAAAGGTGTGTTTTCATTTATGAAACCATTATCAACAGGAATTTGGATGAATGTGATATTCGCTTACATTGGTGTAAGTGTTATTCTATTTCTCGTTAGTCGATTTTCGCCGTACGAATGGAACACTGAAGATGATACGACTGAAACACCAACACCACAATTATCAAACGAGTTTTCCATATTCAATACATTATTTTTTGCATTCGCAGCATTCATGCAGCAAGGAGTCGGTTTCATACCAAGGTGGATAATCTTTAATAACGAGTTATTCTTTCACTGTACGTAGCATGTTTGTAGATCAACATCAGGCAGATTAGTAGCCAGCGTATGGTGGGTTTTTTCAATGGTCTTAGTTTTATTGTATATAGCTAACTTAGGTATTGTGAGATCTATCACGGGCAAGTCTATGAGGGCAAATTTTTCAGACTTCTGTCTCGTTTAGCTGCGTTTCTTATGAATGGTTATACGGGCGAACGAATGATTATACCCATTGAAAGCCTGGAAGATCTAGCACGACAAACGTATATGAAGTATGGAATGGTGCGAGGTAAAGCTGATGAATACCGATTAACGAATTTTCTTCAAAAGTATAACGATTACTTTTTTTTAAGGAGGTTCAACTCAAACGTTCTTTGAAGTTAGTATCATAATACCGCATTAGCCATTGAATGATCACGTCATATTTCATCTATTAGAAATCGAATGTGAAAATATTTCAACAAATGTACACGTTTATGCAACAAGGTGACGATGTGATGGTAAATAGTACTAAGGAAGGAATAAACAAAGTTCGGTAATAAATGATAAAAGTTTAATTACCGTTGATCTAAGCGATAGTTAAACGATATTTTTCTAGGAAATCAAAAGGAAAATATGCATTTTTACACGAAGTAAGTGTTTCAATACACGTTTGTAATCTCATTTTATTCTAATCAATTTCTCTTTCAATTAGTCGATTAAGAATGAGTATACGAATGAACGCGTTCCGTGTGATACAATGATAATTGGAAGTAGTTTAGATTTAAAAGGTTATGGTATTGCAACGCCAGTTGGATCAGAACTTCGGTATACAATACAACGAAACATAGTTTTTTTCTATGTATCGGTTAGTTTTAATTTTTAGTGAAGCAATGAATATAGCCGTATTAGAAATGCGTGAAGATGGAACATTAAATAGATTGAAAAGTAAATGGTGGTATGAAAGGTACGTTATTAAACTTCAATTGATATTCAATGAATATTCTACGCTTTTTAGAGCCGAGTGTACTAGTGGAACAACGACAGTAATCTCTTTTTATGATTAATAAAGATATAACATTATTTTTGCAATTATTTACAGGGAACAAGACCATTGCAACTTATTAATGTTGCTGGTATATTTTACATTCTCATTGGTGGTTTAGCATTGGCTATAATCATAGTTGTTCTGGAATTAGCTTGTTTTGGAAGAAACAGGCGTTTGAGGTATGAAACAGAATCTGCGTAATACACAACAATTTCTACTAATGTAAGATGGTTTTTCCTGTTTTGAAGAATTTTCGTCACATGAGAATTCTCAAATAACTATAATAATGATTTGATAAATCATCATAATGTCTGCCTTTTTTTGTTGAACGTGTATAAATGCTTGGAGAATCAAGAAGACAAACCGATTGAGCTATTCTAACCCCAGAAATATTTGATTTAACTAATATATGAATCTCTTCTGGCTGAACAGTTTACTCTGGTAGGATCATCCGTTATACGTCGTATAACTTCCTAGATAGTGATCAGTTTGAAGAAAAAATACTTTAATTGCTGTTAGTTTGGCACCATCTTCCTTTCTGTGTGCAAGTACACAAACTTTTCTCGACAATTTTATAATTTTACAAATTGCTGCTTTACATTTTTTTCCTCTATCTTTTAGTTATAGACGTGGCAAAACCTAAGAAAATGCATATCCATCATTGTCGCGTCAAACAACTTTAAACTTAAATATTTTCTCGCATTAAAAATATTTGTTTGAATTTTTTTTGTATTGCGTTCTTTCTCTGTAGTTCTCATGTATTTATATGCATATTCAACTTTCTGCCTTCTCTGATGGCAACAGAGATACAAATGAACTCTTTTACTTCTAGTTTTCGCAAATTTTTTTTCTTGTTTTTACTGTTGTTGTTTAATATGAAATCATCGTTCTCTCTTTCTCTGTCATCTCTTTATACGTATCAAAATTTTCACTTTTTTTTTCAAAAAATCATAAAAAATAAAACACACACTTTGGAGTTTTTGTTATATTTCATGGCATATTTTTATGTTAGGACAAATGACTGATTCTACTGATATACAATACATTTTCTTCGTTTGTAATATAAATTAATAGTTGTGTGTAAAACTAAAACCGGAAAATAGAATATGCGTTGAATTAATTTTTGAACGTCAATCATTCAACTATCATCTAACTTGTAAAATGATTTCCGATAACGCTTTGAGAATGTGCGCTACAGTCAAGCAGACCATTTGAAATTATTTAATCAAAAAGATTTTTTCTATTTTTAAGATGGTTGATTGAATCATATTTCGCAATATACTAAAAAAGTAACTTTTAGAACGGTTGAGAACTCTTGAGATTTTACACTATTTATACATTTCAAGAGCTCTATTATCGATTCTGCAATCAGTACGAAGAACAGTATAATATTACCCATAAATAACTGCAAGATCTATTTTCCAATGTTAATTTACTCGGTATTATTACTACATTACGAGAATACTTTACATGGCTGGATGATGATTAACCGACGTTTGAGCGCTCGACATTTGAGCGCCGACATTTGAGCGCCGACACTTGAGCGCCCCGACATTTGAGCGACTGACATCTGAGCGACCGACATTTGAGCGACCGACACTTGAGCGACCGACAGTTGAGCGACCCCGACAC